TAGAAAGACCTTTCTTACCCTTAACATGGCAGAATCATCCAATCAAATAAAAATAAATAAGTTAGGTGTGTAGGGTGTGTCTTAAATAAACTAATTAACCACATTAACTGCTCCTTAACACCTTGGATAAATGCATTTGAATCAAAAGTGATTCATTTACCCTTCAAGAATACAATGTTGCACAGAAAAAAATGCAAAACTCACTGAGTTGTAGCTTAGAGCCACTGAAGGAATGAATTCCAAACCTATATATTTCATCATGAATCCTATGGAATTTCCTGTGAAAATAATTTTCAAGTGACACTAGGCACAAAGGAGACAACTTGTACCATCACTGAAAATCGGAATTCAGTAAGTGTCACGGAGAGCAGACATTAGCATTTGTACTGATGTTCCTGGTATAGGATTCTTGGCACACAAAGGAGAGATAAAAGGCTCATAAAAATGGATTCACTTATCCATCAAAGTACAGTTGACTCACACGGTATAAATATGTATAGTCTAAAATTTTTAGGACCTATCTAGGAGGAAATTTTATAACCTTAGAGTGCTTTTGGGTCCTTGGGCTGAATAACAAATCTTAGGTTGATGCCATAGCATTAGGGTTGCCAGGGAACACTGTGAGGCCAGGCTGAATAGGGTCAGAATTGGGTGCAGAGAGAAACCAAATTTCCTGCTCTGGTCCTAGAAGTACATTTCAAGCGGGCACTACTTCTACTCTGGGAGATTTTTATGACAAATGTCTTTTCTAATCTTTAAAAGTTCTGGTTATTTCAGATAGATTTAATGAATATACAAACTCTGCTTGAGTCTCTAACAAAGTGGCCCAGTCATCAAAGTCTACTTGTTTTCACTTTCATATGTTTTCAATGCATATTCTCACAATTGCATTTTCCTAACATATGGGAGATAAAGTCTAGACCAATATAAGAACATTAAGGTTTGGAGCCTGAGGACAGGAACCATGCTAGTGTCACATATGGGAGCTGTCATCCTATGTGTGGTTCAGGAGAAGAGAAAGTGAGTTTGTATGTATTTATTTTATTTACATACACTTAAATAGCACATGCTAGGTAGAAAATGCATAATTTCATTGTAAATATTAGCTCATTTAATATTGATGAAAATGGATACCATTTTTTTCACTATTTTTTGTCATGGAAAACATAAAACAGAGAGGTTAACTAATTAACTTGAGGTCACACAGTTGGCTAGTGGTCGATCTAGGCTTCATCTAGGCACTGAGTCTCCAGAGACAAATACGGCCTTCACAGTGGTAAGCAATGCAACCTCATCTGTTGGAGAACATTTCTAGGGAAATTACATGGGACTGGGCTTCTCAGGCCTGGGTGCTCATTAGACTTATCTGGTAAGATTTTAAAAAGTTATACTTGGCATTCCCAGAACAATTAAATTAGACTTTCTGATGGGGGCTCAGGAACTGGTATTCTTAGTCCTTGTGAGGGCCTTATATGCAGCCCCCGTGGGAGATAAAGAAGGCAGAGGCGTCATGAACAACTTTCAGGGCGAAGTGTCAGAAGATAACCCCCAGAAGGGAGAGCCAAGTGTGCTTGGGCAGCGCAGTGAAATCTAACGTAACGTGGATTAAAGGGCCCAGTGACTAAAGACTGAGCTCACCTGCTGGGCATCTATGCTTAATTTTACTTTGTAATTAAACTCTGCTTTAGCAGGCCTCATGTTTCAGTGTTATAGTGTCTAGTCTCTTTGTGGAATCTCATCTGTGTACACACACACACACACACACAGTATCTGACTTGGCTCTGAAAACCTTTCTGCTTTACATTTCTCTGCAGCTAATGCCTTTTTATGTAATAATAAAATCCTGTTTGAAAAGAAATTTCTATATATTTATGATTCTCTACTTAACTCTAAGTTTATTATTTCTTGTTTATAATGCAATGAATACATAAAGAAAGTGATACGCCATGTGAAATTTCTCTCTCTTCCCATTTATGCATCAGTGTGAAGGGTTAATTTTATTCAGCAATGAAATTTATATTAAATTCCCTTAGGTGTGCATCCCGTATTGTGGCAAAGTCTTACTTATGGGATTTTTTAATGTAATGTCACTCATTTTGGGTTCTGCTTTCTTAAGTGAGAATACTGATACATTTGAAACTCAAGGCACATTAAACTCCAAATTTAGTGTTAAAAAATACTGTAAAGGCCATAACTAGCTGCCCAGTTGCCAGTTTAGAGTATTGTGTGTACAGTATTTGTGTCATTTGTGTGTATATATGAGTACCATAAGCATCCAACTGCTAAACATTGATTTGGGACTGACTTCATGATAGACACGACACATACAGAGCATGAATATGGAAAGGCTGTAGATGTAAATGATTTTATAGTTCATGAGAAGAACACATGACACATTGAGTTGCAAATAATCAAAATGTACTAAAACAACCAAAGTGTCCTGTGATAGAGGACTGGATAGAGCAGATGTGGGACATGTACACAGTGGATACTCCTCAACCATGAGAAAGGGTGAACTACTGCCATTTGCAAGAACATGGATGGACCTCGAGAATATCATGCTGAGTGAAACAAGTCAGTCAGAAAAAGCTAAGAACCATATGATTTCACTCATATGTGGGATATAAAACTGAAACTCGTGGACACAAACAGCAGTGTGGTGGCTGCCAGAGGGAAGGGGATGGGTGATGAAGGGGGTCCTAATATATGGTGACAGGAGATTTGACTTTGGGTGGTGGGCAAACAGAGCAATATACAGATCTTGTAACATAGAAACCCACACCTGAAACCTATATGATCATGTCACCCCAATAATTTTAATAAAAGAAAAGTTAAATAAAGTGCTTGAAACTATTTACTTACAGAGCTTAAAATAATAAAGATAAAGCTGATGGGAGTACAGAAGGGTGGAGAAAACATCTCTACTTGGGGCAGAAAAATTAGGATTCCCAGAAATGATGTGGATCTGGGAAATCAGGATGAGTAGGATTCCTCCATATGTGGATGTGAATGTCCTTCATATAGCAGGATCATTTGGGCAAGAGCACAGAGAAGGGAAAGGGCCTCAGATAAACCATCAATAAGTCTCTGTGGTTCCTGCACGAGGTCCCTGGCAGCACAGTTGGAAACTGCTCTGGGAGGGATATTGAAACCCATTCATGTCATGCTATTCATAGCATGTCAATGGGTTTAGATGATTTTTCTTTCAATAGGAATAGAAGCCCATTAGATTTTATTTTAATTTTTAATTTTTTTAATGGAGTATGATGATTGTTTTTGTGTTATGGGACAATGACTGATACTCCTGTGTAAAAGGAGCTAGAGGAGGAAGCAGTTAGGATCCTTTTCAGCCTTGCAATTGTTAAGTGAGTATCCAAGTGAGTTGAGACAGTTGCAGGGGTGATAAAAAGCAATGAACATATTTAATGATTAGATTATCCACATATATCTGGGAATTTTTAAAAAATATTTTATACAGGCCACAGGTCAACTCTAATCTACTTATCTTTTCCCTGTATTTCTAGCAAGTGTGTTGATTTAATACCCCAGATGCAAAAAAAAAAGAGTGTAGAGTAAAAAACTGTCATGCTGGACATGCCATTTGACAGAGTAAATAATTATGTAACTTTTTTTTATTGTATATTGGGAGTAGTACCTGGAGCATGGTGTGTACCACTGAACACTTGCTTACTGGAAGAAAAAAATGAGTGAATCAACAAATTAATGCCTACTTTAATACCACTGCACCTCAGTACTTTTACTGTAAAATCCAGATGTCATGTCAAAATATTTCTACAGAAACTTGAATGAGTAGCTGAATGGAAAGTATCGATCCTGGAGTCCGCATACTGGGCAGTTCCTTTGGATTCCTCCAAGAGGCGAAGGGCCTGCTGCCCATTTGATAACTTTGGATGCACAAATTACTCCCTTTGGGCTCAGTAGAGATGCCCTTTCTTCATTAGCAACATCTTTATTTTGTTGATATCAAGTTGTTTTGATATATATTTTTACTCTATTCTCAACTCAGAATAGTAGCATTGAACAGGACAGTAAGAAGAAGTACTCACTTAAAAAGTTATTAGAGTCAGAGACCAAAGGGATGGATACCAGAAAGGAAGGAATGGTTAATACTGTAATAAGTTTACAGGGTGACAGATGATTACTAGAATTGTGGAGTGATCACATTGTAAGGTATAAAAATGTCAAATAACTGTTCGGTACACTTGAAACTAAAATAACCAACAGAAGATTGTATAACAATTATACTTAATGAAAAGTCAAAACAAAGTTCTTAAAAGAAGACTCAACTATGACTATGAATATATGACAAAAACACAAAAAATCTCCCTTCAACTTCTCTTAGTACATAAGTGATATGACCAAGTAGCAAAAAAATGAGAAATGCTACAGATAATCAGGATTGTCTTTAATGTTCTCCTATGTCAATGAGCCATTGGGTTAATTCAATCTAGAGGCATAGAGGTGCTCTTGTAGCTATAATTGCAATTATTTTTGGTTCCTCAATTTCTCAAATATTATCCTAATTAAAGGTTTCCTATTGCTGGTATGTAGTGGTTGATTTTTAAATTGCAATTGCAAATTACTTACACCCTCAAAAGTTCAATAAGCCTTTAAACCTTTTAGCTTTTCTATTGATATCCTAATCATGAAATTAAAGCATCTGTAGTAAGCAGAAGAGCTAATGTAAGCAGTGTCATGTTTTCTATGGTGTACAAATCGATAAAATTCTCCTGATGAGTTTTCGTTCAATGATCTAGATACCGGAAATGGACACAGCTTTTAAAATACATGTATCATTTGCACTACCTATATTGTTGCCTAACATTTTGGTTGTAATGGATAAATTATTCTCATTGACATCATATACTCACAGAATCATTAAGTAATGCCAAATTCCAAAAAAAGTAGCCCAGCAGATAAATTACATGACCTTGAGCTCTGTAAAATAGATGCTAGAGTCATTTCTTCTTGTTTTCCAGGTGCATATGTGCTCCAGGTCAAGGCCACAGATGCAGATGACCCAACCTATGGAAACAGTGCTAGAGTCGTTTACAGCATTCTTCAGGGACAACCTTATTTCTCTATTGATCCCAAGACAGGTAATTTTTTTTATTAGAGACAACATTTCCACCATGCCTTCAAATATTTAAACTTTAATTAAATCTTGGCATGGGAAGTTGCCTATCCTAATACTGCAATAAAGTTTCCATGTGCTGGAATTAGGCAAAGGAAGATAGGATTTTACCTTGCTGCTGCAGAACTATTTTCTTTGGGTTGAACTTCATGTAAATATAAATCTTCTCACATATATGTGTCTAATCCAGATTTGCTAGTTAGAATTCTCTGTATGATTTACTTTAAATTTTCAGAAGTCCAGACCTAGTGGTTTTGTTTTTTTATTCTTCTGTGTAAAATAGCCTTTTATTTCAGGTTTTCTTGGTTGGGTTCAATTATGTTCAGTTTGGGGCCTTGTTGACGTGTGGAAATACCATGGAGCTTCTATTACTATCTTTATCAAGGGTTATGGATGATGGACTTGGATTAATATAGTCCTGTGCTTCTAGTAGGGGAAAGGAAATAGTTGACAAACAGGAAACACTAAGATTACAGATTCTTTGGGTCTATGTTTTTAAAACCAGTCTCATTTGTAAGTCAAGCCATTTAAATTGCAGTTTATAAAACCAAATATGTAAGAAACTATGGGAAGTCTAGAAAGGGCAGGAAAATTGTGTATTCATTTTCTTTAATTTTAATTTTTATTTTTAGAGAGGGGAAGAGAGAGGGAGAAAGAGAAAGAAACAACGATGAGAGAGAGAAACATTATTTATTGGCTGCCTCTGCACGCCCCCCACTGGGGATCGAGCCCACAACCTGGGCATGTGCCCTGACTGGGAGTCGAACCATGACCTTCTGGTTCCTGGGTAGATGCTCAACCACTGAGCAACACCAGCCAGGCTTGTATTCATTTTTTAATAAAATGAGAACCCCCTGTTCCAAGAGAATCTGTTTTTGCATGCTGGATAGTTTCTAAGAACCATTCATTCTGACCAGTGATCAAAGTAGGTGTTCCATGTCACAGTTAAATCAGAAACTGCACAATGACATTTATTTTATCAACTCGTATATAGTGCACTATAGTATATTGCATATTGAACTCAATACTCCTTATTACATAGCTTAAAATAATGCAATAAATTGTTAATTGAACAAATAAGGTATTTTAAATTTGTAAATACATCTTTACAGAGCTATATCAATTTGAAAGGTATGAATTCCAGACACTACATAGGCAAATGGGCTAAACATTTATACTTCCTCAAAGTGTGTGCTAACATCTGGAATACCAATTAGATATAGGTTAATCAATTAACCATCTATTAATGTTGCCTAACTTGTTAATTATCAACTCTAGATAAATTCTTATGCCTTTAGAAAGCATTATATTGCAGAAGAGTATTATGTTCATAATGTGACTTTTATAATTGTGTATTTGTACTTTTTATATAACGCTTATTATTTAGAACTAAAGGAGAAACAGTTCTGGCATAAACTACGGAATAGATTTTTTGAAGCATTGATTTTCACTGGAGACAGAAGTCTTGGTACTAACAATACCTCAGACCACTGGACAGGAAAAGAGAGGAAGGTGAAACAGTTCATTAATAGAATGATAACTAGTTTTTCATGCACAGAAACCATTAAGAAGACTTCTTGTCAAATTTATCACCTTGTGGTTAATAAGAGTAAATAAAAAATCAAGGATAATTGCAATTTCTCAGAAACAGTCTCCATTTGTTCCAGCCATATGGCTTCCTTTTATGATTCCTTTTGCTGTTATTAAATAAAATGCATGAAAGACTAACATCTAAAATTTTCTACATTTGAATGTAGAATGCAGTTAAAAACATTTTTTTTAAAGAAAGAGGCTCATCAAAACTTTTGGTGCCTAAGTATTTATGAAGAAATAAATATAACCAATTTTTTTCATTTCAAATAAGAAAATTCAAAAAAGATTTCTTTATTGGCACTGATGTTTGGCAAACACTCCTAGCATCTCAATTTAAGTGATTATAGAAAAGCTTATATAAAAACAGTATAAATTGATATGTCCTATGAAATGAGCCCAGGAACAATAGTTTTCTTTAACATCGGCAAATTTGGCAATGATTTGGCTTAACTCTGAAGTAACTTACTGAGAATTAAAATGCAAACACATTCATGTATACACCTCAAATGATCATTAACTAATATTTTAAAAACTAACAAATATAGATAAATCTATAGAATATTAAATAACATTTATACTTATAATTAATGTTTATAAATTATTACATATTTGTTATATTAGCATATTATGCTATTATATTACATACATTTTTACATTTAAAATTTAATTAGACAGACATTCATAATCTATAAAACATCAAACAACAGACACTATAATATTTTATCTAATGCATAGAATTAATAATAGAATTACTTCATTGAGGAAAACAGACATCACTATGAAGGATTTATCTCATGTTTTAACTTCTGTTTAATATTATTTTGAATTATTTAAGGCTAAAAACGCACTGCAGACAATGGTCTCCTTGTGTTCTGCTTTGCCACAGCCTGTGAGAACTCTGTGCGAACTTCACTTGCCTTATTTTAAAAATCATGGAATGCACACATCAGCAGACAGAACTAAGAAAGTTTGACCTTGAGAGGAAAATGCTCCAGGGGGATGTGATACATGCCTTTAGGAAGTTGTAGAGCTGTCAGGTACAAGAAGAACTAGCTGTATTCTGTGCTGTTGGAGAAAATGGCCCTCAATGGCTGGTATGAGTTCCAGGAAGAAAGAGTTTTCATCTTATAAAGAAAAAGAGGTTAATACTTATCCATAAATAAGAGTAGTGCTTTATGAGATTATATGCCTTAAATTACCATCTGAGATTAGCTTAATTATTTAAGCACTTCTTTACAGCCTCCGCACCCCTCCACATGAACACATAGCCATTAGATGCACATTCCACAAAATAATCTTGTACAGAGACTCTATTAATTATCATCCCAGATGGAAATACATGGCACCCAACTGGGCAATTTGAGATTCATTTAATAAGAGGGTTCTTTATTAAAGTATGAGCAGACTGTAGGGAAACCGTGGAGCAGGGCAGACCGTGGAGGAGGAATACAAGTGACTGCTGTTGCCACACGAGGGCTGCAGGAACGAGAAGGGCCTGGAGACACAGGCACCTGTGGGTGAGGGCCCATCACAGGGGATGCGGGAGGTTCCAGGAAAGGAGAGACCCAGCCTCATTCGCCTTATGCCATCTAATCTCCTGCCCATTGGCCTAAGGCAGCCAGAAGTCTAGAAAAGTATATGAAGTGGGCCTGAAGGAGCAAGTGAAGAGTTTGCTCAACCCTAGTAACAGTGGCTGGATGAAACATATTTTAGTACAAATGCCAACTGAATCTAGTGTCCTATATCTCAGCCCTATGTCACACTCAATTCAAGAAATAGCTCATATAAAACCATATCCTGGCTTATCATATGTACTATTTTATTTCTCATATATAGTATTGCGTTATTTTTATCTCAATCTGTTATTGGTATATTTTACACATTTTTACAAATTAGGCTAAGATCCACCGAGATTTTAGGGTCTTGCATGCAGCATGGCAGTGATTGTGCAGGGCGAATATAACCCCTGGAAGACTAGCATCCCTTGATATATTGTTTTAAGTTTATAATCCTCTCAGCCATTCATTTTGTCAGAAACAAAATCTCTTTTTCTCTTTCTTGTTTTTACTCTAATTATCTTAATTATAGATGTTGAAAAGTTCATCAGGTTTAAAGCACTCAGATCATACTAGGATCCAATTTATACTTGCCTATCTACTCTTTTTTTCCAATAAATAAGATTTATTTCAGAAGTATATAAAATTATTTAAATGTTGTGGTATCACTCCTGAAAAGTATTTACACTGTTCCATAAAATGCATGTTTTTTTCTTCTTTTTATTCTTCAGCTATTATCATGCAAGGTTGTCACTGTATGTTTACTTACAAATACTGAAAAATAGAGATGGACTCATGAATTTAAACCTAGGACCTGAAATAACAGAATGTAGCATTTCCTTCTGCTGGTTAAATCCTACTAGCACTTAAGCCCAGTCCCTGACAAGACTCCTTCTTGCTCAGGACCATACAATGTACTTTTGTTTGGCTGGTTTTAAATGTTAGGCAGTTAATAATCCCATAAGAAGAGTAACTTTTTGAAAAGCATGTTTGTTTTCCCTCAGACTTATTCAATGGAGCACAATATTTAAAGATTCTCTTTTCATATTGAACTCCAGCTGCTTCCCCGGATTCAACTCTAAAAATTTAAATTCTACCAATGCCATATTTTATTTCTCAGAGACAGGGGTGTTAAGTGGAAATGGTAGTAGGGAAGCAGAAGCACATCGCACTCATCAGTGGAGATTTTCTTTGAAACTTCACAAACGGCCCTATTTGCTCTCTAAATTCTAACATGTCTTCTATTTGAGCAGCATTACCTAGAAGGGGGGCTAGAAGGAGCTGATAGTTCACCTACCGGACTCAGGATGGAGCAGGAGGGTGGGGCAGTTTGAGGTCCTGAAGGCAGTTTTAACAAATCACCAGAAAAAATATCTAGTCTGTTTATTAAATATGTCTGATAATGCCTATTTGTTCTCTTTTACAGCAGATTAATATATGTGTGTGTATAGAATTTATATATGCCCTGTCTGGGTGGCTTGGTGGTTGGAGGGTTGCCCCATACACCAAAAAATTGCAGGTTCAATTTTCAGTCAATGCACATACCTAGGTTTGGAGTTTCGATCACNTGTGTGTATAGAATTTATATATGCCCTGTCTGGGTGGCTTGGTGGTTGGAGGGTTGCCCCATACACCAAAAAATTGCAGGTTCAATTTTCAGTCAATGCACATACCTAGGTTTGGAGGTTCGATCACCGATCACCGATCACCGGTCAGGTGCATAAGGAGGGCCACCAATCATTTCTCTCTCTCTCTCTCTCTCTCTCTCTCTCTCTCTCTTTTTCTCTCTTCCTCTCTCTCCTTCCCTTTCTCTCTAAAAATTCAATAAAACATATCCTCATACAGAATTTTTAAAATGTATATAAGACACATTTGTACATTTTCATATTGGAATATTCATATTAGAAATGAATCGAATCAAAATTATCTATACACACACATTTTTCATATTGGAAATGAATTGAGTAAAGATAGATCTGATCAACAACTGGACAATGCAACATGCATATGAGTTAAAACCAGACATTTATCTAGAATATATAAACATTGTAATGCAGGCAGAAGTCATGTAGCTTAGGGCATAGAGGACCAGGCCATTGAGATGCAGAGATGAAAAATTTTAGTTCAGAGATTTGGGAATGAAACATTAGGAATCTGAGCTGAAGAGAGGAAAAACATCAAAATGCAAGAGTGTCGGTGCCAATGCATGAATTAAGCAGCAGTAGCAAAAAATAATTGCCTTTTTGCAGCTATTTCCTGCCGAGGGTTAGAAGAAATCTTAGACTGTAGTTAAATCTGAATTAGCAACAGGACAGCATTTGGTAAATCGATAGTGGAAAGAATGGATAAAATGGGGACTGACATTCAGTTTATGATTTGGATGCTATCCGTTGTGTCTGGCAGTTGATATTCTCTTTGTTCCTCATATGTGCTACTTTATTTAAGAAACAATGCTATCAGAGACACAGGGGTTCAAGACAAATCCTCTGCAATCTTTTGCTAAAACCATTGGCTATAGATTGGAATTAGGTATAAAACTGATTTATAATGTTACTTTCAACAAATCCAGAAGGTTTCAGTTATTTCACTATGAATAAATATAAATATAAATGTAAATTAATTCTACACTTGGGCACAGAGCAGAAAATGAATAGGATATGTAAATATGAATATATACTATGTGATTCCTGATTGTAAATTTAATTATTTATAGAGTCATTCATTTATTTAGCCGGTCTCTCTATTAGTCATTTGGTCTGACTGAATCCCTTCTCAGTGTCAGGCACTGCCCTAGATGGTGGAGGAACTTGGTGACAAGAGTCAAGGTCCCTGCAATGGCAAAGTCTCGTGAGATTTAAGTAAAAAACTGTGGCTAAAATAATTAATAGGAACCCTGAAAGACAAAATAAAATACGCAAAGGAGATACTTAATGTGTTTAAAACAGTAAAGTAATATATTTATCCTAAAAAATTAAGAATGAAGAAGAAAATGGCAGTCTTTAGAAATCTCTTGCTCAGTGTAATCACAATTTTTTTAGTATATATTTATATCTTTAGCCATATCATCTAACACATGCAATCCCTCTTAAAGACAAGGTCGTTCTGTATAATCGCGCCAGACCTGGGTGACTCAAGGAGTTAGACCGTCTCCTAGAGCTGATCCAGTGTTTCCTCCCCATGCTCCACAGTGCTGCACGCCCCACTGTGCGGCTGCTACCATAACATGTTTAATTGTGCCCCAAATATATAGTTTACCCAAAGTGAAACACCCAAAATATCGTTTATTTCGGGTGTTTCACTTTGTAAAAGACACATAATTTTTGTTTTTGCGTCTTTGCTAGTGAATCCAAGTAGAATAATTTTTTGTTGCTGACAACTTTATTTTGGAAGATACAACATTTACAGTATTTACCCTTTTGTTATTTTTCCCCCTCAAGGCGTGATTAGAACAGCTTTGCCGAACATGGACAGGGAAGTCAAAGAGCAATACCAAGTGCTCATCCAAGCCAAGGACATGGGCGGGCAGCTGGGAGGGCTGGCCGGAACGACAATAGTCAACATCACCCTCACCGATGTCAACGACAATCCACCTCGATTCCCCAAAAGTATGTGCTTTCCTGTTAAGTCTAAGTTAGTGCGGCTTTTTAAATGCTTTCTTATATTTCATTGAATGCTACAGGAATTGCAGTAATTTTCCAGATACTTCTGGTCTTTAAGAAATAAAAAGTAATGGATAAAAATGAAATGACTTATGGGTTTAAGTTTTCCGTTGGACTCATGCACAATGTGATTTTAATAGAAAATAATATAAATGAGTCTAAAATTGAACAAATGTCTTATGCTATCAATTTCTGTTAAAGTCAAATATTCACAATAGATTGGCATATTGCTCTAATTTATTATTTATTGAAAAAGTAATACACAAGAAAATTGCAATGCAATTTAAGACATTTGACATATGTGCTATCATATTATTTTCTATATCATTTATTACCATAAGAATTCTCTGCCTCTTTAGCGATTGTATGTGTTGAGTCAATCTCATATACTTTGTGTATCAGATGCTATTAAAGTGGTGCTATTTACATTACTTTAGTTCTATTTTAGTTTTGCAATAGGTAAGCATTGCTATAGTTTCTATGATAATAGAATGATTCACACATGTATCTTCTCTGTAACTCAGTTTCAGACTGAAAATGATTATTTCTCGCTTGTGCTTTATCTAGCTTTCTTTTGCAGTGTTACATTTAACAGCAATTAGTACCTGTTCGATTTCTGGTACATTTTCCAGGACTAGTTCAATGTTCCTGGGACTTAGGAATGGGAACTAAATGTTTCTATTGCTGGTTAAATAAGGCACTTGAGTAAATCACTAGGTGCTCATTTGCAGGAATAGTTTAACAAACAAAAAATACACAAAATGATTTTCCTCCTCTGACTCCAGAAGGAAAGTTTGAGTTCATCTAACAAAGTTTTATAACACTGAGAATATTTAACTAGATGGACATTTTATTCCTTTAGCTATATGGTTTTCCATATTTGACTACGTTGTCCTTTTTTTCTTAAATTCATTATCATTTTTTATGGAAATAGTTGTACTTAGTCATCAGAAATTTTAATGGCCAATGTTATGAGTGGCAATTAGAAATCATCACACTTTAGCAAATGCAATATAAGTGAAAAATGGCTAGGATATCGTCTGTTATTATTAATAACACAGAGAGTTGCCTGGCCGGTGTGGTTCAGTGGTTGAGCATCGACCCATGACCCAGGAGGTCACAGTTCAATTCCTGGCCAGGGCACAGGCCCGGGTCGCGGGCTCGATCCCCAGTCAGGGGCGTGTACGAGGCAGCAGATCAATGACTCTCATCATCGATGTTTCTCTCTCTCTCTCCCCCCCCTCCCTTCCTCTCTCTGAAATCAATAAAAACACATTTAAAAAAAATAACACAGAGAGTCTTAGAGCAATACTTTCCCTTACCTTACTAGTAAGAAAAACAGAAAAAAATATTAAACCGGAGAAAGAAACACACATTTGATTATCCAGATGACTGCAATAAAGAACAGGTCCCCGCCAGCCCCCACGGCTGCTGCTCCCCGCTGCGCCCATGTGATGTGTGTAATGGCTGATGGAGGAAGACGGTTTGGGAGATCACTCTGTTTTTTTATAAAATGCGGCGTTGTTGGGTTTTGTGCATATAAAACATGTTCCGTCTAGAGTACAGGAAATAGCAGAAATCTTCCTAGGAAGTGTCAATATTCTTATTCCCAAGGATATAGTGAGGTGTTTTCAGATGAGGAATGTAAAACTCAGCCAAAGGAAGGACATAACTTTGTGGGTATGGATTAGGGGTGGTTGTAAAAGTTGGGGCAGGGACCTAGACAAATAGACTGGGTGCAGGGGAATGAAAATGTCTCAGAGGGAGAGGAACTAGGTGTCCTCAGGAAACCAGGACGGTGTCAGGCCCACGGAAGCAGGGAGGCCGCTTCCAGATCTCATCTTGTGAAAGAATCTGGGTAAAGCAGGAGGCGTGTTTGAGAGCTGCCCCTGTAGGTTTAGGGGTAACTAGGAGAGACCCAGCAGGAAAGACCAGGGGACTTGCAGAGCATTTACATGCTGCGCCATAAAATTTATTATCTTAGCTCCTTTGACAACAACTCTAAGGCACATATTTTCCACATTGTACTGCTAAGGAAACTGAGGCTTAGAAAGATTAAAAACTTTTTAGACAGATGTGTCAGAGGTTCCTTTTTTTAAAATCTGAAGCTCAAAATCCTTCTAGTTTGATGTAGTATGAAAACCAAAAAGTTATTCTTTTCTTTTACCTGTTTCCCTGAAAACTATTTGTTTAGAACACAGCTGCAAGAGAGTCACATGACATATGTTGAATTGTCACCATAAACAGAAAGGAGAGGGCAGAGGAAATATACCAAGTAGATCACCGTGATCAATTATTTTCTGCTTGTGTTACATGCATATTTGAACTATAGTCTGAACTTTAACAGGTGAGCGATATTTTTAAATCATGAGAAGAAAGGGAGCTTTCACATTTTGCATGAATAAATAATTAATTCCCTTGAAATGTTACATGCCTTTGTGTCAAGCCCTTTTTACTGTACTGTCATTTTGAATTACATCCTTCAGAGGAAAAGACAGAATCCATTTATAAACAGAAAGCCATCTCTTTAGAAGCCATGGCTCTTTCTGCAGGAATATTCTCATGGGGAGCAATCAAACTGCATATATGATATAGAACTACAAACTGAAATAATGGCCTTTTGAATGTAGAAGTCAAGGTAACATATACCCCAGACATAAATAATAATTAGCTATATTTGTTCATGCCTTTAAGCAATTATGCTGAAATATGTCTTCCTTCAGAGGGACTACATGAATTTCACTTTCCATTGCTAACTATGCACAAGATAATTTCTCAATATTTACCAATCATATTTTTGGATTTTTGTGAGTATATATACGTATGTGACATTGTTAAACACCCATTACATTCATTTTTTTTCTGTAAACCTGTTAGAGATAAAAATAAGTCGCATATACATTTGTATCATTCAAATATAAATAGCTTGCTGTTTTCTTGCTGTAAAATAGGTGGTTCCTGAGATATCAAAACTTCCTGTAATTTGATATAATCAGGGTGACAATGATAATCGACTAATACATTACTATGTCATGCACTATGTGCATATGTGTTCCCATTTAACTCTTATAATGACAGAATAGTATTAGCTCAATTTTAGAAATAAAATAGCAAGTCTGTATTATTAAAAAATCTTAAGTAAACTTTGCAAGATCACACAGCAGCTAGGTGAGAGAATCAAGACCTAATCTTACGCGGGGACTTCTGAACTCTTAACTTTTTATCACTCTCCTTCTTAGAAGGTAATCTTTTTTTATGAGTCCTGTGTTTAGCCCAAAAACTCCTACATATAATCTAGAAAACTGTCCATAAAAAGGTAGTAGTACTGTTTCATAAATATAAGTAGTACCTGGAATATTAAAAGAGCTCTCCCTGCAGTCATATGAAGGCAACATATTTTCTTTGCAGAATCTTTTTCCTAGAGTTATAAAGCTACCATCTACTCTAATCAAAAATATCTGTAGCAGATTTTCATCTGTTAAAATAAGCTACAGAAACATGCTGATTGTTTCCATTACTTGAATTTTAAATGACAAAACTATCTAACAAGCTGATCTAAATTATGCATTATGAGATCAAATCAATTAAGTGATGTGGTTAATTCACATAAAGCAAAATATTCATACTTGTCCCACTTGGTCTTTTGTTCCTGTATAATAATTTTATAATAAATATAAAAATGACTTAAGTGAAATGAAGCACATCATGTACAATTTTGGCTGGAAAGAGATAATTTATAGGGAATATAAAGAAGTGTTTTCTTTTTTTTCTTGTTTAATACAATAAAAGAGCAAGAAAACCATTTTTTTGGTTAACAAGTTCAAACGTAGAAAATAGGACATTATTATTTGTTCTAACAGGATTTCCTAGTCATAAAGAGAGCGATATTTTAAAGTCTGTTTTAACCAAATGCCTACCAACATGTTTACATTGACTGCTTCTAGCTATAGGAGTGTTGATTTAGTTTTACTTTAACCTGAATAGAACACAGTTACAGAATTAAACTAATCTATGAAGTAAGTCTCTATTTGCTTGATACCGAATTATTACCATTGAAGTAAAAAAGAAATCCTTTCTCATGTGAAGTTTTAGTCTTCTGATTCTATCAAAATAGATATCAGGAAGGCTGTGGGCTAACCTTACATGATTCCCAGCTTATGGAGACTGATATTCACTGGCTTTATCCTAAATAAGTTTATATTAAATGCACATAATGCACATAATGATGTATGTGCATTATTATAATAATACTACTTTAAACAATTTTACCCAGATTTAAAAATATATACTTTGATTGTTAATATAATTTCTCTAGTTTTCTTAAAAAGCTTATTTATTTTATTATATTTGCAGTCTATGAAAATCACATTTTAGTCAATTAAAAATTCCTGCAACCTTTATGTAAGATGTTATGTCTACAAGGCAAACTATAAGACAAATATCTACATGTATAACTATATTAAAACCACAATAAAATTCCAAAATAAGAACATGATCAAAAAAAATATTGGCATAAATAGGGTATGATAACTAGATCTAATTGGGATTATTAAGAAAATGTTTAGGAAGAACATAGCATTTGAGAAGAAGTATGCAGTGAGAATTTAACAGAGTGAAAAAAGACAATGTTGGTTACAGACTGCCACAACTCTGAAATGTAAACATATATTTCTATGTCTCTGCGTTTTCGAACACGGGCGATATCTTATATCAGTGTGTTAGGAACGTTACTCGGCTAACTTGGTAAAGCCTGAAGGAGAGTGTAGACATAGCGCGGATCCGGGGCAGGGGTCTGGAAGAGGCTCGTGGAGGCAGAACTGAGAGGTGTTTCGGTGGCAGAACAGAAAGGACTTTGTTCTCTATGGGACTCAGGGGTGTGGAAGAGCAAGAGCATGTGAGGAAATGGTTTAGGTGGAAAGGTGGCCTGTCTGCTGATAGGCTGGAGT